GCTGGCTGAGGAATTCTGGGAGTTGAAGTCCACAAGTCTTAAAGTTGCCAAGGTTGGACACCCCTGGTGTAAACCCTATTCCCTTCTAGCAGGTTACTTCTTGGGTAACGAAACACCTGCAATAAACCAACCCAGCTCAGAAAGCACCAAGGAACCTCCTCCTCCTCCTCCTCCTTCTCCCTCTCCTCCTTTGTTCTTTCTAAAACTTTTGATAAAATTTATATGAAAAAAGGAAGAAGAAAAAACCAGTTTGCCTTTCCAGGCTCCCCTCACCGTTTCACACTGGTGAAAGAACCTAAACAATTGGATCAATTAAACACACTCACCATGAAAGATAAACAGAGGAGACCCTGAAAATCAGAGAAGTTAAATTGAGAAAATGGATCTTAAAGGAACAATTTTATGGAGTTTGAAACTCTTACCATAGTGGTGTCTGACTTTCTACGGAGAGCTGGGCTGTCACCATGGGAGTGCAACTTAATGTTTGACATCTGTAGCTGGAAAAATCAGACAGATGTAGTTACATACAAACTGCTAAGTGAAGAGACATAGACTACAGAATAACAGAGTTGGAAGGGCCTTTGGAGGTCATCTAGCTCAACCCCTTGCTCAAACAGGAAACTCTATGCCATTGCAGGAAAAAATGGCTATCCAATCTCTTCTTAAAAACCTCCAGTGATGGAATACACACAGATCATGCCAACAGTTTGGCTATGTTGGCCCTCAACCAACTAATCCCCAGCAGAACTAAAATTAAGCAACTGTCACAAAGATAAAATCTTGAAACAGAGGTGGAAATCTCTTCTAGAAACAGTTGTTGATTGGGGTCACAATTGCAAAGCAAGAAGATTAGGGTAATTTGATTTCTTGCTGCTTGGACACAACGGCATGTAGTCCTTGAACTTAAGTTATAACCATTCATTTAGTGACTTCAAAGTCACATCAGCACTGAAAAAAGGACTTATGATCCTTTTTCACACTTATGACCATTGCAGCATTCCCCATAGTCAGGTGATGCTTGACAACTGACTCACATTTATGTCTTCAGGTAGATGGATGGATGGATGAGTAAAACAGTTTTAGAGATAAGTAAAACATATTTATTAAATATGAGCCTGAACTATGAGATGAATGCTGAATAAATGTGATTAAATAAATAGATGAACAAATAAAGTATATTTTTATCACTTTTAACTTTTCCCTTTTATTCCCTTCACCTTTATATAAATTTGTATTTTATTGTTTTTCTGAAAATCATAAAGCTATTTTTAAAGAGTTGGGGTAATTTGCTTAGTGGTTATTGTTATTGTTGTTATTGTTATTAGTATTAGTATTATTAGATATTTTTTATCACACCTTTTTTGATACATGGATGGATATTATCTCAAAGTGGTGATCATACCTAACACCCTTCCTATTATTTTCCCTGCAACAACCACCTTGTGAGGTGTGTTGGTCCCAATCCAGTTGGCTTTTGTGCCTAAAAGGGACTACCACTCCCAGTCTCCTGGTGACTGGCCTAAAGTCACCCAGTCTTAAGCCATGACATCATCAAAGTCCTACACTAAGAAAATGAAGCCTCACATCTTTTTCCAGCTGTTTGATCCGGTTGTTCATCTGCTTTGTTCTGGTTTTCTCCTTTTCCATCTCAGCTGTCATGTGCCGGTTCTGTTTGGCCAGTTCCACTATTTTAGAAGCTGCAACATCCCCTGCTAAACCAGCGGTCCCTAAAATTTAACAAAAGAAGAAAAGAAAATGGTAGTTGAAAAGAAGGAAACGGGCGTCTCCGGAGATAATATTCATAGTTCAGGGTTGAACTGAAGAGTCCTCGGTGCTCTCTTGAGCTTTGTTATTTTCTTGCAGACAGTTTGTGACCCAACTAGGGGAAAGGGGTGGGATTTGCAGAGAAGAGGGTGAGGAGGAGAATGAAATTTATATATTTATTATTTATTTATTAGTTTTATCCCAATTGTAGTATTACTTTCTTTAAGTAACTCATGGTGGCAAACATACATATTACTCCTTGTTCCTCTTATTTTTTTCCAAAACAACAACTTTATGAAGTGGGCTGGGCTGAGAGAGAATAATTGGCCCAAATTCACCTAGCCAACTTTCATAGCTTAGTTGGAACTAGAACTCATTGTTGCCTAGTGATTTGCCCAAAATTACCTAGTTGGCTTTCATGCCTAAGGTGAGACTAAAACTCACTGTCTTCTGGTGATTGGCCCAGCCAGCTTTCGTGGCTAAGGTGGAGCTAGAATTCACCATCACCTGGCTTCTAGGCTAGCACCATCACTTCTATGCTAAACTGGCTCAGTTTCCCCACCTTGTGTGATAACCGTTCTCCTTCACACTAGGGAAAAACAAATCGAGCATTTTGCTGGACCAATCTACACTTCGATGAAATTTCTAAAACCATTCCCTACTAAGGTCCTTGAAATAGAGAGAGAGAAAGAGAGAGAGAGAGAGAGGAAGAAAGAAGAAAAGAAAGAAAGAAAGAAAGAAAGAAAGAAAGAAAGAAAGAAAGAAAGAAAGAAAGAAAGAAAGAAAGAAAGAAAGAATGAATGAATTCTGGAAGACTTGGTGGTCTGGACCATAATCTCCAGGAAAAGGGAATCGCGGCAGTGATGTGGGGGAGGGAATAATTTAATGTGGCTTTTTGCTCACCCAGGAGAGCCTGCCGTTCCTCCTCAATCTTCTTATGAAGCTGCTTTATTTCCAAATCTCTTTCTTTCAAGAGTTTGTACAGCCGGCCGTTCTCATCCACCAGCTCCCGGAGTTGGTGCTGCAGCTGCTCGTTTTCGGTTTCCAGCAATCTAGAAGGGAAACAGGCACCTTGATCTAGTCTGTGGTTGCAATCCATCCCCAGGGCGGAAGGGCCGAGGATTGGAAAAAAGAAATGAAGGAATTTGGGCGGGATAGAATTCTGAATTCCCCCCCCTTTGAATTACAGTTAGTCCTCGACTTATGGCCACGACATCCATTGCTAAGTGAAACAGTTGTTAAGTGAGTCTTGCCCCATTTTACCACCGTTCGTGCCACCGTTGTTAAGTAAATCACTGCAGTCACATGGTTGTTAAGCGAATTTGGCTTCCCCATTGCCAATCAGAGGGTTGCAAAGGGGGATCATGTGACCCCAGGACACTGCGACCATCATAAATACGAGTCAGTTGCCAAGCATCCAACTTCTGATCACGTGACCACAGGGATGCTGCAACGGTCATAAGTGTGAACCAGGGTCCTAAGTCACTTTTGTCAATATCGTCCTGACTTTGAAAGGTCACCAGAACAAACTGTTGCAAGGTGAGGAATAACTGTTGTCTTTGACTTACGACCGTAACAGAGTCCAGAATTTCCATTATGAACGTTGTGAGTTGAGGCACCCACTGTGACTCTCTTGATTTTACGACATTTTCATGGTAGTTAATCATTAAGCAATTGCAATGGGATTTTGGGGGTGGGTGGGGGGTGTTTGTAGGAATTTGGTCAGAATGAAAATGCCGTTTTCCCTCCAAAGCCTCATAAATCCCAGTCATGCGAATTCAACCAGGTTGCCACCTTACTTCGTCCCAATGTCTGAGTCGGATGTCTCGGGTGCCAAGAGCGATAAGCTGAGAGCATCTGGGATCCCGAAGGCCTTGTCGTGGTTCTCTTTGTTGTCCTGTTTTAGGCTGTGTTGATTTTCCTTTTTCTTCTCCAACAGATTTTTCATCCTTTTCTGCTGCTGCTCCTGGAGAGCCTTAAACTGCATTTTAAGGTTTTCGTTAACCGCTTCGTCAGCCTCCATTGTGACCTTTGAAAGGGTTAATCAAATAAAGACATGATCCAAAGATCTTCAGCTAGTTCTTTAATCAGAAGAAAATACTCCAAATTATTACGGCAAAGCAACAGCTGTGGTTTTCAGCCTTAAGAACTTTAAGACGGACTTTAACTCCCAGAATTCCCCAGCAAGAATCTCTCTGAGCTTGGTTGTTTTCCTGGATCCATCCATCCTTCTGTCTCTATTATAGTATCCATCCCTCTATCTGTCCATCCTTTTACCTCTCTCACCTATTTATCTATCCATCTATCCATCCAACCCCGCCTCTCTTTCTATGGGTATCATCTACTTCTGTCCATCTCTATCATTCTCTCTATCTATTATTTAACTTCATCCATCTATCTATCCATTGTTCTGTCTTCTCTCTCTCTCCTCATTCTCTCTCTGTGTCTGTCTCAATTAATCTATCTTTGTTATTTCTCTCTGTCTCCACATCATTATTTCTCTCTCATCTATCTACCTACCTACCCACTGTAACTACCTACCTATTCTTCTGTGTCATCTGTTTCTGTATTATCTACAATCGATTTATCTATCCTTCTATGTCATTTATCTGTCCACCCATCCTCTCTCTCTCTCTCTCTCTCACCCTCTCTCTCTCCCTCTCTCTCTCCCTGTCTCTGTCTCTGTCTCTGTGTCTCTTTCTCCCTCTCTCTCCCCCCCCTCTCTCTATTTCTCTCAAGATTCCCAAGTCCAGCTGGGGCTACCACATTGTTATGGGCTTACCTTTCTCAAACCCACTCAAGGCACCCTGAAACCGAAAGTTGGTTAATTCGCTCCTGGCTCCAACTTCGCTTTGACATCCCGAGATCTTTACGCCTTCGATACCTGGGGAGAGCTTGGCACAGACCTGGGGAGAGGGAAAGCGGGGTGGGGGGTTCAGAAAACCGAGTTTAAACTCCTTCAAGCGAGGGAGAAGCTCTCAACTTGGAGAGGCTCAGAGGGGATCCAAAGAGGTGGGAAGACTTTGAATCTGCTCCCCCGCTATAACCCCCCACCCCCACCCCAAGGGTATGTGCAGAAAGCCCCCCCCCCTCCCCAGCAGCCCCACTCACCCACTGCCGCCTCCGAGTCCGGCGCCCTCCTCCTTTGCCCGGACAGCCCCGGGGCGGAGCAGCTCCCCGGCGAAGGCGCTGCGGAGGCAGGGCGCGTTGCTATGGACGCGGTCGCCGCGGCAACCGTCGCCAGGGAGAAGCCCGGGCTCGCCTCCAAGGCACATGATGCCGCTGTTCAAAGATGGGGGTGTGGGGGGCGTCGCGGGGGCTGGGCAGGGAGCAGGAGAGGCAAAAGCAGCCCCGTTTCTCAAAATCTGGAACAGAGACCCCTAGATCTCCTTTCTCACCGCTGGAATGCCACTCCAGACGGGGGGCTAATCTCAACTCCCAGAAGTCTCTGCAAGTAAGGGCCCCCCCTGGGATAGTTGGAGGGAGGGCTGAGTCTCAGCAGGGTCAGGCCTGAGCTGACTTTGCAAAGCTAGGCTTAGGTTAGACTAGGAGGTGGAAGACCATTAAACTTTTTTTTTTCTTTTTTACTGTTTTAATGCTTTCTTAGCAGTTTTTATTTTTTAAAAAACATGTTTTTAAGATTTTAATTGTACTATACGTTTTCAATTGTGAACTGCCTAGAGATGTTTGCTGAGATGTGCTGCTATAGAAATTGGAAGGGAGGGAGGAGGGAAGGAAGGAAGGAGATAGAAGTGAAAGAGAAGAAGTAAGAGAAGAAAGAAAGAGAGAAGGGAGGGAGGGAGGGAGGGAGGAAAGAAAGAAAGAAAGAAAGAAAGAAAGAAAGAAAGAAAGAAAGAAAGAAAGTGTAGGAAGTTAACACCCACCCCTGTCCTAGAAAATTGAAATAGTGTAGGAAATATTAAAAAGGCAGAATATTTCCTTTAAAAAGAGTACAAACTCAGAAGCAGAAACTCATGCTGCCCTTAAAATTGCAGGGACTTCAAGCAGTTGCCAAAACTCAAAACTGACTTGAAAAAAAATTAAATCTACTTTTTGCAATTACTGAACATTAAATACAGGCTAGAAAATGAGTCTTAAGGAGTGTAATTATATAACAAAGCAAAAATTATATAACAAAGCAAGATCTGTATTTGACTTTCAGCTAGCCATTTTAAAAGATATTATTAATGGATTTAAGAAACAAAAATAAAAACATTGAGGCAATGATGATGCAATGATACAATCAGCAGCACTGCCACTAATAGAAATAAAATTCATGCTTGAGCAAGGTGTTGGACTAGAAGACCTCCAAGGTCTCTTCCAATACTGTTTTTTATTCTGTTCCGTTCCGTTCCATTCTATTCTATTCCATTCCATTCCATTCCATTCAATTCCCTATTCTGTTCTACCCTACCCTACCATTACTCTACCCTGCTGTATCCTACTCATTTTCTGTTCTGGTCCATTCTCTATTGAATTTATACTATCCCACCCTATCCTACCCAACCCAACCCCACCCCATCCCACCTCACCCCATCCTAAAGCTAAAACATTGAAAAATAACCAGCTCAACTGTTGAATTATGAAATTGGGATAACACTGAAAAAAGCTTAAGTTTTGTGTGAATTCAATTCTGCTGGCTATAATTCACCTTGATGGTGCACTACACAACGTGTTCTATGTAAGGGCAGATTTAATTTCATCACTAAAACAACAGTCTGGAGTCCTACCAGTTGGATAAGATCAATAAATAAATAAATAAATAAGGAAACTTCCTTGGGGCTATGCTTGCTAATGAGTGATTGAAACAATTAATATTTTAATGAAGTTCAGCAAAGAACATAATATGTTGTGAAATCAGTTCAGGCAGGGATTAGCTGTAAATGCCACCACGTTTTCCTAGTATAAGTAGTCTTGACTTACAATCACAATTGAGCCCAACATTTATGTTGTTAAGTGAGACATTTGTGAAGTTTAGCTCCTTTCTTGCCACAGTTGTTAGGTTAACCATTGCAGCTGTTAGGTTAGTAAAATGGTTGCTAAATGAATCTGGCTTGTTCACTGACTTTGCTTATCGGAAGGTTGCAAAAGCGGATCACAGGACCCTGGGACCCTGCGACTGTCATAAATATGAGTCAGGTGCCAAGCTTCTGAATTTTGATCACATGGCTCTGCAATGGGGATGTTGCAACAGTCCTAAGTGGGAAAAATGTCATAAATCACTTTTTTCAGTGCTGCTGTAACTTAGAATGGTCACTAAATGAACTGTTGTAAATTGAGGACTACCTCTATCTTAAATTACCGTATTTGCCGGCGTATAAGACGACTTTTTTGCCCTGAAAAACATGCCTCCAAGTGGGGGGGTCGTCTTATACGCCGGGAGGACTCCGACTCCCACTTCGAGCTTGAGTTGCAGCCGGGAGGGAGGCTGGGGGGGAGCGGTGTGTGTGTGTGTGTGTGTGTGTGTGGCGGGTGTCACTCGCCACGTGCTGCGCAACCTTTCCCCCTCTTCCTTCCTTAGCGGTGTGGGGAGGAGAGGATTCGAAGATCCTCACGTGCGGCGTACTTTTCTTTTTCTTTTTTTCTTTTTGCACGCAGGTTTTGCATGCGGGCGGCTGTAGGTTAAGGATGGGGGAGCCCCCGGGTGGGTTATCAGGTTTTACGGTGCTTCCAACATGTGCGAACGGTGGGAGAGCGGAGAAGAGAGCGAGCGAGCGCCCCGCTGTGTGAAATCCTGCCGTCAAAAGCAACACTGGGGGAGGCAGGGTATAAATTTACCAGGTTAATGTAGCAATGGTGATTAATGCCCAGAACATTGTTTGCGGGTATTGGGGTGTGTGTGTGTGTGTGGTGGTGGTGAGGAGAGGTTGTCCTTTGAATGCGGAAAAGTAGGTGTGACCTTGTGTAGGAAAATAAAGAGATCCTTTTTAGCGTGTTTGGCTTCTTTGCCTCCCCTCGTTCGTTTTGACGTGGAGATAATGGCCTTCGGGCGGGAGGGGAAGAAAACGGTAGCTGGATCATTTCAAATTTCACTTACTCTCCTGCCTCATTTCAATATGTCTGAGCGACTCCAGATACTGGAAGACTTTTTGAATGAAAGTGTTACCTCCATTTTTTTTTTTAAAGAGGGCCACTTGGGGAAAAAAAAAGATTCTAAGGAATTCCTTGTTTCTTGATTAAAGAGAAGGCATTGAATATACTGTTCCTTGGCAGCCTTTTCAGTGTCCGGGTTTTTGGTGTGTGTGTGTGTGTGTGTGTGTGAGAGAGAGAGAGAGAGAGAGAGAGATCAGCTGTATTGAGAAGAGAACATTTCCTGTGTTCTCATTTTATTTACAACATATTTTACGCTTAATGGTAAGCAATGAAAAATATTTTTAAAACTCATTTCTAAACTCCATAGCTATTTGCATATTCTTGGTTCAAAATTGGATTAGCTCATTTCAAAATTGTCCAAAGCAGAAAAGTGCGTCAAAAAAAAAAAGTGCAAAAGTGGAAGGTGTGTGGAAGAGGGGGTAGTCTTATACGGCGAGTATATAACAAACTCTATATTTTGAGTGGAAATGTTGGGGGGTCGTCTTATACGCCCAGTCGTCTTATACGCCGGCAAATACGGTATGTCGGCATTGTAGTTCTCTTAAACATGGACAGAAATATTCAACAGATTACTTGATTATAGATAGTCTTCACCTGCAACTATTCGTTTAGTGACCTTTTCGAATTTACAATGGCATTGTAAAAAAAGGGGGGGGGCTTATGACCATTTTTCACACTAATGACCACAGTCATGGGAACAAAATTTGAACACTTGCAAACCAGGTCGTATTTACAATGGCTGCAGTGTCCGGAGGTTGTTTGATCCCTGTTTGCGACCTTCTGCCAAGCAAATTTAACGGAGAAGCCAGATTCATTTAACAACCTTGTGACTCACTTAACAACTGCAGGGATTCACTTAACAACTGTGATAAGAAAAGTCATAAAACGGTGCAAATGACTCAGTTAACACTTGTTTTGCTTAGCAATGGAATTTTGGACTCAGTTGTGGTCATAAATTGAGGACTGCCTGTACTTCAGATAACAGATAATCAGAGTTGAAGGGAACTTGTAGGTCATCTGGTCCAACCCCCCGCCCAAGCAGGAGACCCTACACCATTTCTGACAGAGGGCAGTCCAATCTCTTCTTGAAAGTCTCAAGTGATGGCGCTCCCATAATTTCCAAGGGCAACTTCTGTTCCATGGGTTGATTGCTCTCACTGTCAGAAAGTTTCTCCTTATTTCTAGGTTGAATCTCTCCTTGTCCAGTTTCCATCCATTATTCCTTGTCTGGCCTTCAGGTGCTTTAGAAAATAGCTTGACCCCCACACCTCCTCTCTGTGGCAGCCCCTCAAATATTCGAAGACTGCTATCATGTCTCCCCTGGTCCTTCTCTTCACTAGACTAGCCAGGCCCAGTTCCTGTAACTGTTCTTCATATGTTTGAGCCTCCAGTCCCCTAATCATTCTGGTTGCTCTTCTCTGTACTTTTTCTAGAGTACTTCAAAGCCCAAAAGAGAGAGAAATAGCAGATTTTGTTGATTTTGCCTCAGAAATGTCCTTTTTTATTATTTTGGTGCCTTGGGGGGGTTTGTGAAACCCCCCCCCCCACTAAATATGGTTTCTCTTCACGTGGATTGAAAGCCAACACAGGGAGGCCATTTTGCCAATGTTTCCACTTCAGGAACAGACAAAATGGCGAAGTTGAAGAGCTGATCGATGGCCTTCCATGACTCAGGCAAAGTTGGTTTGGTTTGACAGCAGCCAAGAAAATGGTGGCCTTTTTTCCCCACCAGGTTCCTTATCCCCTTTATTTTTCCTCAGCGAAAAGAAAAATTAATGAAACTGAAGTCAACCCTCTAATAAAAGAAGATTATTTCCCAGGCTGA